TTACCGAAAGAACCAAGAATAAGAATCCCTGCAGTCACGAAAGCTTTAAATCGAAATTTAACTCGTTTTCGTTCTGCGTGACTAAGGGGCGGTCCATAAATGACGTCACGCGATTTTGGACGATGTTTGACCCCCTCCCCCCCCCCATCGTAACATGACGTCACAAAAAGTCAGACCCCCCCTCAAATATGACGTCACAAAGCTCTGCCCCCCCCCCCCCCAAAAATAAAACATGATTCAAATCGCTTTAAACTATTGTCATTGTAGTAGTACGGTATTTAACGTGGCGCTTACACTCTGATGTCGTAGGAGGAAACGTTTATTAAAAAGTCAATTTAATTAAGTGGAACGTCTTGAATTTGATTTATATCGCTGCGTTGTCTGCTGCCTATAGTTGTGTGCCTGGGTGCCTCTAAGTGTGCGCTGCTGCGCCCCCGTCTCTGTGTGCCTGACAACTTGTATCGTATTCTTAGTTTTTTCGGTAAAGTCACGTTGAAGAGAAACAACAAAATAACAAAATATATATAAAACAATAAAAAATTCTCACGACGTTTCGACCATAACTCAAACGGTCATCATCAGGTGTGTCGGTTTGCATAAATTTATTTTGAAAACGGCATATTTATTTATATATATAAAAATAACGTTTGCGTCACGCGCAACGATGGCAGTTTGCCAGGACTAGTCCATCTATTTTTTTGAAAAGAGGAGGGGGGAGACGAAATTTGTTTTTATGTATGCTGTCTGAAAGGCACTGTAAGCGTGAACAATCAATCAAGAACTGAAATGATTTATCAAATCTTTCCAATGATTGCTAAGATAGAATCCATCTTCTCGGTTGAAATTGTCTCTGTGTTTGTATATGTGGATAGCCTCATGAACGAATCTCTCATGGAAGCCAGATGGCTTACAAAGAACCTCCGTCTTGGAAAAGTCAATGGCATGTGAGCCTACTGAATTAGAACAATGATCTGCTACGGCCGAGGTGTTGGTCCTACCGTGTTTAAGGTCTGCTTTATGTTCACGAATGCGGTCCGAGATATGGCGTTTGGTTTCTCCAATGTAACTACTACCACAGAGGCAACTTAGTTTGTAGACACCAGGGTATTGTATGTCCGGAATCACATCTTTTACAGACGGAACCAGATCACGGATTTTATGTAATGTGTTGAAACGGACCTGGATCTTGTGTTTATTCAAGATTTTGGAGATCTTTTTTGTGATCCCAGCAATGTAGGGTAAAGTGATGGTTTTGAAAGGCTCCTCAAGAGGGTTCTTCTTCATGGTTTGAGTGATAGCTTTGCGGATTGTATAGTCGGAGTAACCATTAGCCCTAAGAGCTTGGTGTACGTGCTTGAGTTCACTGCTTATGTGTTCCTGGTCGGATATGCATTGGGCTCTATGATACAGAGTCTTGATGAGAGAATTCTTCTGTGATGGATGGTGGTGGGAATCCGGTTTCAGATAAGCATCCGTATGGGTAGCTTTCCTGTAGACAGAGTGGCTCATTGAACCATCAGGTCTCTTTTTAATTAGGACATCCAAAAAAGGTATCTTGCCATCTATTTCGACTTCCATGGTAAATCTGATGGCTGGGTGTATGGAATTGATGTGGTCGAAGAATTTGTCTAGAGCAGGCCGGCCATGTGGCCAGATGACAAAAGTGTCATCCACGTACCTCTTCCATAAGGTTGGGCGCAGAGTGGCAGTCTGGATGGCGTCAGTCTCAAATTTCTCCATGAAAATGTTAGCTATAACTGGAGAAAGGGGGGAGCCCATTGGGGTGCCCTCAGTTTGTTTGTAGAAAGTTCCATTCCAAGTGAAGTATGTATTGGTTAAACAGTGTCTCACCAGGGGGGGTACCTCAGTGTTTAGTCCTTGATGAACCAAGTCTTCAATGATTGCAATGGTGTCAGGTACAGGAACCTTGGTGAATAAGGAAACTACATCAAAACTGACAAGCAGGTCGTCTGGGGACAGGGAAATACCCTTGATTGTTGATACCAGGTGAGTAGAATTTTGTACCGCAGAGGTGGTCTTTCCAGTGAAAGGACGCAGGATTTCAGACAAAAAACGAGCTAGTTTGTAGGTGGGGGAGCTGATAGTAGAGACTATGGGACGAAGAGGTGTATCAACTTTATGTATTTTTGGTAAGCCGTATAATCTTGGTGGCCTGGCAGCAGAAGGTTTCAACGAAAACTGTTTAGATTGATCAATTAATGCGGTTGAATCAGAAATTATTTTGTTGGTTTGTGTGACGAGGCTGTTGGTGGGATCTCTTTTTATTTTTGTATAACTACCATCGTCGAGTAATTCTTTAATTTTGTTGTTGTATTCTATTTTATCCATGATAACAGTAGCATTGCCTTTGTCAGCTGAGAGAACTACAATATCATTCCTCTTTTTTAATTTATATAATTCAAAACGCTCATCTTTGCTGAGGTTGCTAGCTGGCATCTTAGCGTTTTTGAGGGTTGCAGCGATATGGAAGAGGTACGTGGATGACACTTTTGTCATCTGGCCACATGGCCGGCCTGCTCTAGACAAATTCTTCGACCACATCAATTCCATACACCCAGCCATCAGATTTACCATGGAAGTCGAAATAGATGGCAAGATACCTTTTTTGGATGTCCTAATTAAAAAGAGACCTGATGGTTCAATGAGCCACTCTGTCTACAGGAAAGCTACCCATACGGATGCTTATCTGAAACCGGATTCCCACCACCATCCATCACAGAAGAATTCTCTCATCAAGACTCTGTATCATAGAGCCCAATGCATATCCGACCAGGAACACATAAGCAGTGAACTCAAGCACGTACACCAAGCTCTTAGGGCTAATGGTTACTCCGACTATACAATCCGCAAAGCTATCACTCAAACCATGAAGAAGAACCCTCTTGAGGAGCCTTTCAAAACCATCACTTTACCCTACATTGCTGGGATCACAAAAAATATCTCCAAAATCTTGAATAAACACAAGATCCAGGTCCGTTTCAACACATTACATAAAATCCGTGATCTGGTTCCGTCTGTAAAAGATGTGATTCCGGACATACAATACCCTGGTGTCTACAAACTAAGTTGCCTCTGTGGTAGTAGTTACATTGGAGAAACCAAACGCCATATCTCGGACCGCATTCGTGAACATAAAGCAGACCTTAAACACGGTAGGACCAACACCTCGGCCGTAGCAGATCATTGTTCTAATTCAGTAGGCTCACATGCCATTGACTTTTCCAAGACGGAGGTTCTTTGTAAGCCATCTGGCTTCCATGAGAGATTCGTTCATGAGGCTATCCACATATACAAACACAGAGACAATTTCAACCGAGAAGATGGATTCTATCTTAGCAATCATTGGAAAGATTTGATAAATCATTTCAGTTCTTGATTGATTGTTCACGCTTACAGTGCCTTTCAGACAGCATACATAAAAACAAATTTCGTCTCCCCCCTCCTCTTTTCAAAAAAATAGATGGACTAGTCCTGGCAAACTGCCATAGTTGCGCGTGACGCAAACGTTATTTTTATATATATAAATAAATATGCCGTTTTCAAAATAAATTTATGCAAACCGACACACCTGATGATGACCGTTTGAGTTATGGTCGAAACGTCGTGAGAATTTTTTATTGTTTTATATATATTTTGTTATTTTGTTGTTTCTCTTCAACGTGACTTTACCGAAAAAACTAAGAATATGAATTACTGCAGTCACGAAAGCTTTAAATCAAAACTTGTATCGTGATAATTTGTGTGCCATTGTCTACGAGTCCCAGCCCCTCCAGCTCTCGCTACTTAAAGCCTCGGTACAAATTTTGCTTCGCTTCTTAACTGTGCGCGTTTCTCCCCCCCCCCCCCCCCCATAAGTCTCTCCACGGTAAGTATTCCATCACTATCTTAAATTTCACGCTCAACTTACAATTTAGCAATCTTTGAAACAGCGTATTCAACCAGACCACGCGTTAATTGTGTTTTTTTACCGACCGTCTGTGTTGCTTTATATAGTTTCCAAATTTTGCTAAACCCTGTTTGATTTAGCGTGACGTTCCGTCTCTCTGTATCCCCTGGTATATTATCTGTGTTAATTCCCCCTACTTAAGGTCTGTACATATATATCTGCGGTTATGTGTTTCCTCTACCTGATGATGATTGCTTGTGTTGCAATCGAAACGTCGTATATTGTGTAATTTTATTTTTTCTTATTTCTACGTGACTTTACCGAAAAAAAACCAAGATTAAGTGGAACGTGTTAAATTTTCTTGGTTCTTTCGGTGAAGTCACCACCACGTAGATATGGGAAACAATAAAATAATACGAAAATATAAAACAATAAGAATTCTCACCTGATGATGATTGCTGCTTTGTGTTGCAGTCGAAAACGTCGTGAGAATTTTATTGTTTTATATTTTTAAAATTTTTATTGTTTCCCTTCGACGTGGTGGTGACTTCACCGAAAGAACCACGAATATTAATCCCTGCGGTCACGAAAGTTTTAAATTAAAATTTAATATAACGCGTTGTCTATATTTATTTAAATTTGCGCATTTTGGTGTGACGTCACATTTCTCACCCCCCCCACCCCCCCAGGTGCGTGACGTCATTCATGGGCGGCCCCTAAAACCTAAAGAATCAAGGAGTTCATATTTTTGGTTCTTTCGGTAAAGTCACGTAGAAGGAAAATAATCAAATACTTTTTTTAAAAACCATAATAAAATAAATTTTGATTTAAAGCTTTCGTGACTGCAGGGATTCAAATTCTTGAATTTTATTGCTTTATATTTTTTATTATTTTATTGTTTCCCTTCTAACGTGACTTCACCGAAAGAACCAAGAATATAATAATAATAAAATAAATCCGCGTTAATTATTCCCGCAGTCGAGTTTCGACTCTGGCTGCTTGCAAATTCGTTTTATTCTTACATCTTCCGGAAGACGTCTTCCGGAAAAGAGGTTCTTCCGGAAGATGCAAAAAAAAACACGAACCCCTTCCGTGACGTCATCTCCATTGGTGGTGATGGCGGCCTCCGCGTATGCGTGGTTAGTGGTGGCGGCTGGTGGTGGTGGTGGCGAGTGGCGAGTGGTGGTGGTGAGGAGTCGCGATCTCTTCCTCCTCGTGGGATCGAGAAGTCTGTTTACACTCAGAGAGAGACTCCGCTTAGTCTGTGTGGGTTGTGAGAAAGTTCCAATGCCCGCGTTGAGGCCTAGTGGGTCAGGCTGCAGCACGTGTTGCGCGAATATTTAATTTTATTAATTTTTTATACCAGCTAAGGCACACGCGGTGGCTAGCACAAAGATCCCCCGTGTAGCCTGTAACAGACTGTAGGGGCAAGTGCTGTTAGTAGCGAGTAGCAGCAGCACCTATACACAGACAGAGATCCCCCGTCTAGCCTGTAACAGACTGTAGGGACAAGTGCTGTTAGTAGCACCACGCCCGGCCGCCTTTGTCTTCCCAGTGGCGATGCTTACGACACACCGCGACACGAGGCCGAGTAGCCACGGTGGCTATGAGATGTTAACTACCTCGCCTGGTATACAGGAGGTCGTGGATTCGATGCCGACCCTGACCATGCCTGTCACATATCTGGAGTCTGCGTGTGTCTCTCCCCCGTGAGATGTTAACTACCTCGCCTGGTATACAGGAGGTCGTGGGTTCGATGCCGACCCTGACGATGCCTGTCATTTATCTGGAGTCTGCGTGTGTCTCTTCTCCGTGAGATGTTAACTACCTGGCCTGCTCTACAGGAGGTCGTGGGTTCGATCCCGGTCCTGATGATGCCTGTAATATATCTGGAGTCTACGTGTGTCTCTCCCCGTTGAGATGTTAACTACCTCGCCTGGTCTACAGGAGGTCGTGGGTTCGATGCCGACCCTGACCATGCCTGTCACATATCTGGAGTCTGCGTGTGTCTCTCCCCCGTGAGATGTTAACTACCTCGCCTGGTGTACAGGAAGTCGTGGGTTCGATCCCGGTCCTGATGATGCCTGCTGCTGCTGTATATGTGGAGTCTGCGTGTGTCTCTCTGCGTCTTTCGCCCCGTGGTGGTCGCTGCATGGATTTTGTCTCCGGGTTCTCTCGGTTTTTCCACGCCACGTTTAGAATCAACGTCGCCACGCGTTTAGAGCTATTTGGCTGCTGCTATGAATATCCACGCGATGATGATGATATCACTCAGCTTAGCTTAGATGTTATCATCTGTGACAGCCAGGTCGGTTCTGAATAAGAGCTACACGGCGCAGTGGGTCCTTGCCTGGTAACAATAAAAACAGGAGAGATGGGAGCCGCAGAGATTGGCGAGTGAGATGGGAGAGAGAGGGGGATGAGTGAGAGAGATCTGAGAGACTGGAGTGAGATGTATCCACGAGAGAGAGAGATGGGTGAGAGACTGGAGTGAGATGTATCCACGAGAGAGAGAGAGAGAAGTGAGAGACTGGAGTGAGATGTATCCACGAGAGAGAGATGTGAGAGACTGGAGTGAGATGTATCCACGAGAGAGATGGGAGAGACTGGAGTGAGATGTATCCACGAGAGATGGGTGAGAGACTGGAGTGAGATGTATCTACGAGAGAGATGGGTGAGAGGCTGGAGTGAGATGTATCCACGAGAGATGGGTGAGAGACTGGAGTGAGTTGTATCCACGAGAGAGATGGGTGAGAGACTGGAGTGAGATGTATCCACGAGAGATGGGTGAGAGACTGGAGTGAGATGTATCCACGAGAGAGAGAGAGAAGTGAGAGACTGGAGTGAGATGTATCCACGAGAGAGAGAAGGGAGAGACTGGAGTGAGATGTATCCACGAGAGAGAGATGGGTGAGAGACTGGAGTGAGATGTATCCACGAGAGAGAGAGAGAAGTGAGAGACTGGAGTGAGATGTATCCACGAGAGAGAGAGACTGGAGTGAGATGTATCCACGAGAGAGAGATGGGTGAGAGACTGGAGTGAGATGTATCCACGAGAGAGAGTGATGGGAGAGCTCGGATTTGGTCGCCCGTGCAGGTTCGGTCCGTGCGGGTTTTAAACTCCGAGCCAGAGCAGCCTCCCTCGTGCAGAAGGGACGCGGCCCCCAGTGCCACGCTCCCTTTCGAACGGGGGGCACACGTGGGGAGACCTCGCTCAAAGTGGGGGGCATCTCACAGTCAGTGTGGGGCACACTTCACTCACACACACTATTCTGTGTGTCTGTCTCTATTGCAGGAGGAGGGGGCATCTGTGAGGCCTGGTGAAGGCTTCAGCCTGAAGATGAAGCCAGGAGTGCAGAGTCGGTGAGGCCGCTTACACAGCCAGGAGGGGTTCACGATGGCCGGGTTGGGTTGACGATGGCCGGGTCGTAGACACTTTGCCGGCAGTGCTGAGGTGCTGAGTTCAAGCCCTGTTTCATTGGGTCTTTGAGGGTTCAACACTGCTATTGGTCTTTCACGTTTAGTAGAGACGGAGTTGTATCGAGAGAGATGGGAGAGAGAGCGAGGCTGAGTTCAAGCCCTGTTTCATTGGGTCTGTGAGGGTTCAACACTGCTATTGGTCTCTCACGTTTAGTAGAGACAGAGTGGTATCGAGAGAGATGGGAGAGAGAGCGAGGCTGAGTTCAAGCCCTGTTTCATTGGGTCTGTGAGGGTTCAACACTGCTATTGGTCTCTCACGTTCAGTAGAGACGGAGTTTTCTCGAGAGAGATGGGAGAGAGAGCGAGGCTGGAGACGGACGGGAGAAGAGAGAGCGGCAGGAGTGAGAGACTGGAGAGAGACTGGAGAGATGGATTCAGAAGAGATGGGAGAGCAAAATGGGAGAGGGATATGGGAAAGAGATGAGAGGGAGAGAGATCTGAGAGACTGGAGTGAGATGTATCCACGAGAGAGAGAGAGATGGGTGAGAGACTGGAGTGAGATGTATCCACGAGAGAGAGAGAGATGGGTGAGAGACTGGAGTGAGATGTATCCACGAGAGAGAGAGAGATGGGAGAGAGACTGGAGTGAGATGTATCCACGAGAGAGAGAGAGAAGTGAGAGACTGGAGTGAGATGTATCCACGAGAGAGATGTGAGAGACTGGAGTGAGATGTATCCACGAGAGATGGGTGAGAGACTGGAGTGAGATGTATCCACGAGAGAGAGAGATGGGTGAGAGACTGGAGTGAGATGTATCCACGAGAGTGAGATGGGTGAGAGACTGGAGTGAGATGTATCCAAGAGAGAGAGTGATGGGTGAGAGACTGGAGTGAGATGTATCCACGAGAGAGAGAGATGGGTGAGAGACTGGAGTGAGATGTATCCACAAGAGAGAGAGATGGGAGAGAGACTGGAGTGAGATGTATCCACGAGAGAGAGAGATGGGTGAGAGACTGGAGTGAGATGTATCCACGAGAGTGAGAGATGGGAGAGAGACTGGAGTGAGATGTATCCACGAGAGAGAGAGATGGGTGAGAGACTGGAGTGAGATGTATCCACGAGAGAGAGAGATGGGTGAGAGACTGGAGTGAGATGTATCCACGAGAGAGATGGGTGAGAGACTGGAGTGAGATGTATCCACGAGAGAGATGGGTGAGAGACTGGAGTGAGATGTATCCACGAGAGAGAGAGAGATTGGTGAGAGACTGGAGTGAGATGTATCCACGAGAGAGAGTGATGGGAGAGCTCGGATTTGGTCGCCCGTGCAGGTTCGGTCCGTGCGGGTTTTAAACTCCGAGCCAGAGCAGCCTCCCTCGTGCAGAAGGGACGCGGCCCCAGTGCCACGCTCCCTTTCGAACGGGGGGCACACGTGGGGAGACCTCGCTCAAAGTGGGGGGCATCTCACAGTCAGTGTGGGGCACACTTCACTCACACACACTATTCTGTGTCTCTGTCTCTATTGCAGGAGGAGGGGGCATCCCTGAGGCCTGGTGAAGGCTTCAGCCTGAAGATGAAGCCAGGAGTGCAGAGTCGGTGAGGCCGCTTACACAGCCAGGAGGGGTTCACGATGGCCGGGTTGGGTTGACGATGGCCGGGTCGTAGACACTTTGCCGGCAGTGCTGAGGTGCTGAGTTCAAGCCCTGTTTCATTGGGTATTTGAGGGTTCAACACTGCTATTGGTCTCTCACGTTTAGTAGAGACGGAGTGGTCTCGAGAGAGATGGGAGAGAGAGCGAGGCTGAGTTCAAGCCCTGTTTCATTGGGTCTGTGAGGGTTCAACACTGCTATTGGTCTCTCACGTTTAGTAGAGGCGGAGTGGTATCGACAGAGATGGGAGAGAGAGCGAGGCTGGAGAGGGACGTGAGAAGAGAGGGCGGCAGGAGTGAGAGACTGGAGAGATGGATTCAGAAGAGATGGGAGAGCAAAATGGGAGAGGGACATGGGAAAGAGATGAGAGAGATGAGAAAGAGAGAGATCTGAGAGACTGGAGTGAGATGTATCCACGAGAGAGATGGGTGAGAGACTGGAGTGAGATGTATCCACGAGAGAGAGAGAGAGAGATGGGAGAGAGACTGGAGTGAGATGTATCCACGAGAGAGAGAGATGGGTGAGAGACTGGAGTGAGATGTATCCACGAGAGAGAGATGGGTGAGAGACTGGAGTGAGATGTATCCACGAGAGAGATGAGAGAGACTGGAGTGAGATGTATCCACGAGAGAGAGATGGGTGAGAGACTGGAGTGAGATGTATCCACGAGAGAGATGAGAGAGACTGGAGTGAGATGTATCCACGAGAGAGTGATGGGTGAGAGACTGGAGTGAGTTGTATCCACGAGAGAGAGAGAGATGGGTGAGAGACTGGAGTGAGATATATCCACGAGAGAGAGAGATGGGTAAGAGACTGGAGTGAGATGTATCCACGAGAGAGAGAGAGATGGGTGAGAGACTGGAGTGAGATTTATCCACGAGAGAGAGATCTGAGAGACTGGAGTGAGATGTATCCACGAGAGATGGGTGAGAGACTGGAGTGAGATGTATCCACGAGAGAGAGAGATGGGTGAGAGACTGGAGTGAGATGTATCCACGAGAGAGAGAGATGGGTGAGAGACTGGAGTGAGATGTATCCACGAGAGAGAGATGGGTGAGAGACTGGAGTGAGATGTATCCACGAGAGAGATGAGAGAGACTGGAGTGAGATGTATCCACGAGAGATGGGTAAGAGACTGGAGTGAGATGTATCCACGAGAGAGAGAGATGGGTGAGAGACTGGAGTGAGATGTATCCATGAGAGAGAGAGATGGGTGAGAGACTGGAGTGAGATTTATCCACGAGAGAGAGATCTGAGAGACTGGAGTGAGATGTATCCACGAGAGATGGGTGAGAGACTGGAGTGAGATGTATCCACGAGAGAGAGATCTGAGAGACTGGAGTGAGATGTATCCACGAGGGAGAGAGATGGGAGAGACTGGAGTGAGATGTATCCACGAGAGAGAGAGATGGGTGAGAGACTGGAGTGAGATGTATCCACGAGAGAGAGAGAGAAGTGAGAGACTGGAGTGAGATGTATCCACGAGAGAGAGATGTGAGAGACTGGAGTGAGATGTATCCACGAGAGAGATGGGAGAGACTGGAGTGAGATGTATCCACGAGAGATGGGTGAGAGACTGGAGTGAGATGTATCCACGAGAGAGATGGGTGAGAGACTGGAGTGAGATGTATCCACAAGAGATGGGTGAGAGACTGGAGTGAGATGTATCCACGAGAGAGAGAGAGAAGTGAGAGACTGGAGTGAGATGTATCCACGAGAAAGAGAAGGGAGAGACTGGAGTGAGATTTATCCACGAGAGAGAGAGATGGGTGAGAGACTGGAGTGAGATGTATCCACGAGAGAGAGAGAGAAGTGAGAGACTGGAGTGAGATGTATCCACGAGAGAGATGAGAGAGACTGGAGTGAGATGTATCCACGAGAGATGGGTAAGAGACTGGAGTGAGATGTATCCACGAGAGAGAGAGATGGGTGAGAGACTGGAGTGAGATGTATCCATGAGAGAGAGAGATGGGTGAGAGACTGGAGTGAGATTTATCCACGAGAGAGAGAGAGATGGGAGAGAGACTGGAGTGAGATGTATCCACGAGAGAGAGAGATGGGTGAGAGACTGGAGTGAGATGTATCCACGAGAGAGAGATGGGTGAGAGACTGGAGTGAGATGTATCCACGAGAGATGGGTGAGAGACTGGAGTGAGATGTATCCACGAGAGAGAGAGATGGGTGAGAGACTGGAGTGAGATGTATCCACGAGAGTGAGATGGGTGAGAGACTGGAGTGAGATGTATCCAAGAGAGAGAGTGATGGGTGAGAGACTAGAGTGAGATGTATCCACGAGAGAGAGAGATGGGTGAGAGACTGGAGTGAGATGTATCCACAAGAGAGAGAGATGGGAGAGAGACTGGAGTGAGATGTATCCACGAGAGAGAGAGATGGGTGAGAGACTGGAGTGAGATGTATCCACGAGAGTGAGAGATGGGAGAGAGACTGGAGTGAGATGTATCCACGAGAGAGAGAGATGGGTGAGAGACTGGAGTGAGATGTATCCACGAGAGAGAGAGATGGGTGAGAGACTGGAGTGAGATGTATCCACGAGAGAGATGGGTGAGAGACTGGAGTGAGATGTATCCACGAGAGAGATGGGTGAGAGACTGGAGTGAGATGTATCCACGAGAGAGATGGGTGAGAGACTGGAGTGAGATGTATCCACGAGAGAGAGAGAGATTGGTGAGAGACTGGAGTGAGATGTATCCACGAGAGAGAGTGATGGGAGAGCTCGGATTTGGTAGCCCGTGCAGGTTCGGTCCGTGCGGGTTTTAAACTCCGAGCCAGAGCAGCCTCCCTCGTGCAGAAGGGACGCGGCCCCCAGTGCCACGCTCCCTTTCGAACGGGGGGCACACGTGGGGAGACCTCGCTCAAAGTGGGGGGCATCTCACAGTCAGTGTGGGGCACACTTCACTCACACACACTATTCTGTGTCTCTGTCTCTATTGCAGGAGGAGGGGGCATCCCTGAGGCCTGGTGAAGGCTTCAGCCTGAAGATGAAGCCAGGAGTGCAGAGTCGGTGAGGCCGCTTACACAGCCAGGAGGGGTTCACGATGGCCGGGTTGGGTTGACGATGGCCGGGTCGTAGACACTTTGCCGGCAGTGCTGAGGTGCTGAGTTCAAGCCCTGTTTCATTGGGTCTGTGAGGGTTCAACACTGCTATTGGTCTCTCACGTTTAGTAGAGACGGAGTGGTCTCGAGAGAGATGGGAGAGAGAGCGAGGCTGAGTTCAAGCCCTGTTTCATTGGGTCTGTGAGGGTTCAACACTGCTATTGGTCTCTCACGTTTAGTAGAGGCGGAGTGGTATCGACAGAGATGGGAGAGAGAGCGAGGCTGGAGAGGGACGTGAGAAGAGAGGGCGGCAGGAGTGAGAGACTGGAGAGATGGATTCAGAAGAGATGGGAGAGCAAAATGGGAGAGGGATAAGGGAAAGAGATGAGAGAGACGAGAGGGAGAGTGATCTGAGAGACTGGAGTGAGATGTATCCACGAGAGAGAGAGATGGGTGAGAGACTGGAGTGAGATTTATCCACGAGAGAGAGATGTGTGAGAGACTGGAGTGAGATGTATCCACGAGAGAGAGAGAGATGGGTGAGAGACTGGAGTGAGATGTATCCACGAGAGAGAGAGATGGGAGAGCTCGGATTTGGTCGCCCGTGCAGGTTCGGTCCGTGCGGGTTTTAAACTCCGAGCCAGAGCAGCCTCCCTCGTGCAGAAGGGACGCGGCCCCCAGTGCCACGCTCCCTTTCGAACGGGGGGCACACGTGGGGAGACCTCGCTCACAGTGGGGGGCATCTCACAGCCAGTATGGGGCACACTGCACTCACACACACTATTCTGTGTGTCTCTCTCGCTGTCTCTATTGCAGGAGGAGGGGGCATCCCTGAGGCCTGGTGAAGGCTTCAGCCTGAAGATGAAGCCAGGAGTGCAGAGTCGGTGAGGCCGCTTACACAGCCAGGAGGGGTTCACGATGGCCGGGTTGGGTTCACGATGGCCGGGTCGGTGACACTTTGCCGGCAATGCTGAGGTGCTGAGTTCAAGCCCTGCTTCATTGGGTCTGTGAGGGTTCAACACTGCTATTGGTCTCTCACGTTTAGTAGAGACGGAGTGGTCTCGAGAGAGATGGGAGAGAGAGCGAGGCTGAGTTCAAGCCCTGTTTCATTGGGTCTGTGAGGGTTCAACACTGCTATTGGTCTCTCACGTTTAGTAGAGACGGAGTGGTCTTGAGAGAGATGGGAGAGAGAGCGAGGTTGGAGAGGGACGGGAGAAGAGAGAGCGGCAGGAGTGAGAGACTGGAGAGATGGATTCAGAAAAGATGGGAGAGCAAAATGGGAGAGGGATATGGGAAAGAGATGAGAGAGATGAGAAAGAGAGAGATCTGAGAGACTGGAGTGAGATGTATCCACGAGAGAGAGAGATGGGTGAGAGACTGGAGTGAGATGTATCCACGAGAGAGAGATGGGCGAGAGACTGGAGTGAGATGTATCCACGAGAGAGAGATGGGCGAGAGACTGGAGTGAGATGTATCCACGAGACAGAGAGATGGGAGAGAGACTGGAGTGAGATGTATCCACGAGACAGAGAGATGTGTGAGAGCTTGGAGTGAGATGTATCCACGAGAGAGAGAGATGGGGGAGAGACTGGAGTGAGATGTATCCACGAGAGATGGGTGAGAGACTGGAGTGAGATGTATCCACGAGAGAGAGATGTGTGAGAGACTGGAGTGAGATGTATCCACGAGAGAGAGAGAAGGGAGAGACTGGAGTGAGATGTATCCACAAGAGAGAGATGGGTGAGAGACTGGAGTGAGATGTATCCACGAGAGTGATGGGAGAGCTCGGATTTGGTCGCCCGTGCAGGTTCAGTCCGTGCGGGTTTTAAACTCCGAGCTAGAGCAGCCTCCCTCGTGCAGAAGGGACGCGGCCCCCAGTGCCACGCTCCCTTTCGAACGGGGGGCACACGTGGGGAGACCTCGCTCACAGTGGGGGGCATCTCACAGCCAGTGTGGGGCACACTGCACTCACACACACTATTCTGTGTCTCTGTCTCTATTGCAGGAGGAGGGGGCATCCCTGAGGCCTGGTGAAGGCTTCAGCCTGAAGATGAAGCCAGGAGTGCAGAGTCAGTGAGGCCGCTTACACAGCCAGGAGGGGTTCACGATGGCCGGGTCGGTGACACTTTGCCGGCAATGCCGAGGTGCTGAGTTCAAGCCCTGTTTCATTGGGTCTGTGAGGGTTCAACACTGCTATTGGTCTCTCACGTTTAGTAGAGACGGAGTGGTATCGAGAGAGATGGGAGAGAGCGAGGCTGAGTTCAAGCCCTGTTTCATTGGGTCTGTGAGGGTTCAACACTGCTATTGGTCTCTCACGTTTAGTAGAGACGGAGTGGTCTCGAGAGAGATGGGAGAGAGAGCGAGGCTGGAGAGGGACGGGAGAAGAGAGAGCAGCAGGAGTGAGAGACTGGAGAGATGGATTCAGAAGAGATGGGAGAGCAAAATGGGAGAGGGATAAGGGAAAGAGATGAGAGAGACGAGAGGGAGAGAGATCTGAGAGACTGGAGTGAGATGTATCCACGAGAGAGAGAGATGGGTGAGAGACTGGAGTGAGATGTATCCACGAGAGAGAGAGATGGGTGAGAGACTGGAGTGAGATTTATCCACGAGAGAGAGAGATGTGTGAGAGACTGGAGTGAGATGTATCCACGAGAGAGAGAGAGATGGGTGAGAGACTGGAGTGAGATGTATCCACGAGAGAGAGAGAGAGATGGGTGAGAGACTGGAGTGAGATGTATCCACGAGAGAGAGTGATGGGAGAGCTCGGATTTGGTCGCCCGTGCAGGTTCGGTCCGTGCGGGTTTTAAACTCCGAGCCAGAGCAGCCTCCCTCGTGCAGAAGGGACGCGGCCCCCAGTGCCACGCTCCCTTTCGAACGGGGGGCACACGTGGGGAGACCTCGCTCACAGTGGGGGGCATCTCACAGCCAGTGTGGGGCACACTGCACTCACACACACTATTCTGTCTCTCTCGCTGTCTCTATTGCAGGAGGAGGGGGCATCCCTGAGGCCTGGTGAAGGCTTCAGCCTGAAGATGAAGCCAGGAGTGCAGAGTCGGTGAGGCCGCTTACACAGGCAGGAGGGGTTCACGATGGCCAGGTTGGGTTCACGATGGCCGGGTCGTAGACACTTTGCCGGCAGTGCTGAGGCGCTGAGCTCAAGCCCTGTTTCATTGGGTCTGTGAGGGTTCAACACTGCTATTGGACTCTCACGTTTAGTAGAGACGGAGTGGTATCGAGAGAGATGGGAGAGAGAGCGAGGCTGGAGAGGGACGGGAGAAGAGAGAGCGGCAGGAGTGAGAGACTGGAGAGATGGATTCAGAAGAGATGGGAGAGCAAAATGGGAGAGGGATATGGGAAAGAGATGAGAGGGAGAGAGATCTGAGAGACTGGAGTGAGATGTATCCACGAGAGAGATGGGTGAGAGACTGAAGTGAGATGTATCCACGAGAGAGAGAGATGGGTGAGAGACAGGAGTGAGATGTATCCACGAGAGAGAGAGATGGGTGAGAGACTGGAGTGAGATGTATCCACGAGAGAGATGGGAGAGACTGGAGTGAGATGTATCCACGAGAGAGAGAGAGATGGGTGAGAGACTGGAGTGAGATGTATCCACGAGAGAGAGTGATGGGAGAGCTCGGATTTGGTCGCCCGTGCAGGTTCGGTCCGTGCGGGTTTTAAACTCCGAGCCAGAGCAGCCTCCCTCGTGCAGAAGGGACGTGGCCTCCAGTGCCACGCTCCCTTTCGAACGGGGGGCACACGTGGGGAGACCTCGCTCACAGTGGGGGGCATCTCACAGTCAGTGTGGGGCACACTGCACTCACACACACTATTCTGTGTGTCTCTCTCGCTGTCTCTATTGCAGGAGGGGGCATCCCTGAGGCCTGGTGAAGGCTTCAGCCTGAAGATGAAGCCAGGAGTGCAGAGTCGGTGAGGCCGCTTACACAGCCAGGAGGGGTTGACGATGGCCGGGTTGGGTTCACGATGGCCGGGTCGGTGACACTTTGCCGGCAGGGCTGAGGTGCTGAGTTCAAGCCCTGTTTCATTGGGTCTGTGAGGGTTCAACACTGCTATTGGTCTCTCACGTTTAGTAGAGATGGAGTGGTATCGAGAGAGATGGGAAAGCGAGGCTGAGTTCAAGCCCTGTTTCATTGGGTCTGTGAGGGTTCAACACTGCTATTGGTCTCTCACGTTTAGTAGAGATGGAGTGGTATCGAGAGAGATGGGAGAGAGAGCGAGGCTGGAGAGGGACGGGAGAAGAGAGAGCGGCAGGAGTGAGAGACTGGAGAGAGACTGGAGAGATGGATTCAGAAGAGATGGGAGAGCAAAATGGGAGAGACGAGAGATGGGAGAGGGATATGGGAAAGAGATGAGAGAGATGAGAAAGAGGAAGATGGGAGAGAGACTGGAGTGAGATGTATCCACGAGAGAGAGATCTGAGAGACTGGAGTGAGATGTATCCACGAGGGAGAGAGATGGGAGAGACTGGAGTGAGATGTATCCACGAGAGAGAGAGATGGGAGAGAGACTGGAGTGAGATGTATCCACGAGAGAGAGATGGGGGAGAGACTGGAGTGAGATGTATCCACGGGAGAGAGAGATGGGTGAGAGACTGGAGTGAGATGTATCCACGAGAGATGGGTGAGAGACTGGAGTGAGATGTATCCACGAGAGATGGGTGAGAGACTGGAGTGAGATGTATCCACGAGAGAGAGAAGTGAGAGACTGGAGTGAGATGTATCCACGAGAGATGGGTGAGAGACTGGAGTGAGATGTATCCACGAGAGAGATGGGTGAGAGACTGGAGTGAGATGTATCCACGAGAGAGATGGGTGAGAGACTGGAGTGAGATGTATCCACGAGAGAGAGAGATGGGTGAGAGACTGGAGTGAGATGTATCCACGAGAGAGATGGGTGAGAGACTGGAGTGAGATGTATCCACGAGAGAGAGAGATGGGTGAGAGACTGGAGTGAGATGTATCCACGAGAGAGAGTGATGGGAGAGAGACTGGAGTGAGATGTATCCACGAGAGAGAGAGAGAGATGGGTGAGAGACTGGAGTGAGATGTATCCACGAGAGAGAGAGATGGGTGAGAGACTGGAGTGAGATGTATCCACGAGAGAGAGAGAGAGAGATGGGTGAGAGACTGGAGTGAGATGTATCCACGAGAGAGAGTGATGGGAGAGCTCGGATTTGGTCGCCCGTGCAGGTTCGGTCCGTGCGGGTTTTAAACTCCGAGCCAGAGCAGCCTCCCTCGTGCAGAAGGGACGCGGCCCCCAGTGCCACGCTCCCTTTCGAACGGGGGGCACACGTGGGGAGACCTCGCTCACAGTGGGGGGCATCTCACAGTCAGTGTGGGGCACACTTCACTCACACACACTATTCTGTGTCTCTCTCGCTGTCTCTTGCAGGAGGAGGGGGCATCCCTGAGGCCTGGTGAAGGCTTCAGCCTGAAGATGAAGCCAGGAGTGCAGTCGGTGAGGCCGCTTACACAGCCAGGAGGGGTTCACGATGGCTGTGTTGGGTTCACGATGGCTGGGTCGTAGACACTTTGCCGGCAGGGCTGAGGTGCTGAGTTCAAGCCCTGTTTCATTGGGTCTGTGAGGGTTCAACACTGCTATTGGTCTCTCACGTTTAGTAGAGACGGAGTGGTATCTAGAGAGATGGGAGAGAGAGCGAGACTGGAGAGGGACGGGAGAAGAGAGGGCGGCAGGAGTGAGAGACTGGAGAGATGGATTCAGAAGAGATGGGAGAGCAAAATGGGAGAGGGATATGGGAAAGAGATGAGAGGGAGAGAGATCTGAGAGACTGGAGTGAGATGTATCCACGAGAGAGATGGGTGAGAGACTGAAGTGAGATGTATCCACGAGAGAGAGAGATGGGTGAGAGACTGGACTGAGATGTATCCACGAGACAGAGAGATGTGTGAGAGCTTGGAGTGAGATGTATCCACGAGAGAGAGAGATGGGGGAGAGACTGGAGTGAGATGTATCCACGAGAGATGGGTGAGAGACTGGAGTGAGATGTATCCACGAGAGAGATGGGAGAGACTGGAGTGAGATGTATCCACGAGAGAGAGAGAGATGGGTGAGAGACAGGAGTGAGATGTATCCACGAGAGAGAGAGATGGGTGAGAGACTGGAGTGAGATGTATCCACGAGAGAGATGGGAGAGACTGGAGTGAGATGTATCCACGAGAGAGAGAGAGATGGGTGAGAGACTGGAGTGAGATGTATCCACGAGAGAGAGAGAGATTGGTGAGAGACTGGAGTGAGATGTATCCACGAGAGAGAGTGATGGGAGAGCTCGGATTTGGTCGCCCGTGCAGGTTCGGTCCGTGCGGGTTTTAAACTCCGAGCCAGAGCAGCCTCCCTCGTGCAGAAGGGACGCGGCCCCCAGTGCCACGCTCCCTTTCGAACGGGGGGCACACGTGGGGAGACCTCGCTCACAGTGCGGGGCATCTCACAGCCAGTGTGGGGCACACTGCACTCACACACACTATTCTGTGTCTCTCTCTGTCTCTATTGCAGGAGGAGGGGGCATCCCTGAGGCCTGGTGAAGGCTTCAGCCTGAAGATGAAGCCAGGAGTGCAGTCGGTGAGGCCGCTTACACAGCCAGGAGGGGTTCACGATGGCTGTGTTGGGTTCACGATGGCTGGGTCGTAGACACTTTGCCGGCAGGGCTGAGGTGCTGAGTTCAAGCCCTGTTTCATTGGGTCTGTGAGGGTTCAACACTGCTATTGGTCTCTCACGTTTAGTAGAGACGGAGTGGTATCGAGAGAGATGGGAGAGAGAGCGAGGCTGAGTTCAAGCCCTGTTTCATTGGGTCTGAGGGTTCAACACTGCTATTGGTCTCTCACGTTTAGTAGAGACGGAGTGGTATCGAGAGAGATGGGAGAGAGAGCGAGACTGGAGAGGGACGGGAGAAGAGAGGGCGGCAGGAGTGAGAGACTGGAGAGACTGGAGAGATGGATTCAGAAGAGATGGGAGAGCAAAATGGGAGAGGTACATGGGAAAGAGATGAGAGAGATCAGAAAGAGGGAGATGGGAGACAGATCTGAGAGACTGGAGTGAGATGTATCCACGAGAGAGAGATGGGTGAGAGACTGGAGATGTATCCACGAGAGAGATGGGTGAGAGACTGGAGTGAGATGTATCCACGAGAGAGTTAGAGATGGGAGAGACTGGAGTGAGATGTATCCACGAGAGAGAGATGGGTGAGAGACTGGAGTGAGATGTATCCACGAGAGAGAGTGATGGGAGAGCTCGGATTTGGTCGCCCGTGCAGGTTCGGTCCGTGCGGGTTTTAAACTCCGAGCCAGAGCAGCCTCCCTCGTGCAGAAGGGACGCGGCCCCCAGTGCCACGCTCCCTTTCGAACGGGGGGCACACGTGGGGAGACCTCGCTCACAGTGGGGGAGCATCTCACAGCCAGTGTGGGGCACACTGCACTCACACACACTATTCTGTGTCTCTCTGTCTCTATTGCAGGAGGAGGGGGCATCCCTGAGGCCTGGTGAAGGCTTCAGCCTGAAGATGAAGCCAGGAGTGCAGAGTCGGTGAGGCCGCTTACACAGCCAGGAGGGGTTCACGATGGCCGGGTTGGGTTCACGATGGCCGGGTCGGTGACACTTTGCCGGCAATGCCGAGGTGCTGAGTTCAAGCCCTGTTTCATTGGGTCTGTGAGGGTTCAACACTGCTATTGGTCTCTCACGTTTAGTAGAGACGGAGTGGTCTCGAGAGAGATGGGAGAGAGAGCGAGACTGGAGAGGGACGGGAGAAGAGAGGGCGGCAGGAGTGAGAGACTGGAGAGATGGATTCAGAAGAGATGGGAGAGCAAAATGGGAGAGGTACATGGGAAAGAGATGAGAGAGATCAGAAAGAGGGAGATGCGAGACAGATCTGAGAGACTGGAGTGAGATGTATCCACGAGAGAGAGATGGGTGAGAGACTGGAGTGAGATGTATCTACGAGAGAGAGATGGGTGAGAGACTGGAGTGAGATGTATCCACGAGAGAGATATGGGTGAGAGACTGGAGTGAGATATATCCACGAGAGAGATATGGGTGAGAGACTGGAGTGAGATGTATCCACGAGAGAGAGATGGGTGAGAGACTGGAGTGAGATGTATCCACGAGAGAGATGAGAGAGACTGGAGTGAGATGTATCCACGAGAGAGAGATGGGTAAGAGACTGGAGTGAGATGTATCCACGAGAGAGAGATGGGTGAGAGACTGGAGTGAGATTTATCCACGAGAGAGAGATCTGAGAGACTGGAGTGAGATGTATCCACGAGAGATGGGTGAGAGACTGGAGTGAGATGTATCCACGAGAGAGAGAGATGGGTGATAGACTGGAGTGAGATGTATCCACGAGAGAGAGAGATGGGTGAGAGACTGGAGTGAGATGTATCCACAAGAGAGAGAGATGGGTGAGAGACTGGAGTGAGATGTATCCACGAGAGAGAGAGATGGGTGAGAGACTGGAGTGAGATGTATCCACGAGAGAGAGAGATGGGTGAGAGACTGGAGTGAGATGTATCCACGAGAGAGAGAGATGGGTGAGAGACTGGAGTGAGATGTATCCACGAGAGAGAGTGATGGGAGAGCTCGGATTTGGTCGCCCGTGCAGGTTCGGTCCGTGCGGGTTTTAAACTCCGAGCCAGAGCAGCCTCCCTCGTGCAGAAGGGACGCGGCCCCCAGTGCCACGCTCCCTTTCGAACGGGGGGCACACGTGGGGAGACCTCGCTCACAGTGGGGGGCATCTCACAGCCAGTGTGGGGCACACTGCACTCACACACACTATTCTGTCTCTCTCGCTGTCTCTATTGCAGGAGGAGGGGGCATCCCTGAGGCCTGGTGAAGGCTTAAGCCTGAAGATGAAGCCAGGAGTGCAGTCGGTGAGGCCGCTTACACAGCCAGGAGGGGTACACGATGGCTGTGTTGGGTTCACGATGGCTGGGTCGTAGACACTTTGCCGGCAGGGCTGAGGTGCTGAGTTCAAGCCCTGTTTCATTGGGTCTGTGAGGGTTCAACACTGCTATTGGTCTCTCACGTTTAGTAGAGACGGAGTGGTATCGAGAGAGATGGGAGAGAGAGCGAGGCTGAGTTCAAGCCCTGTTTCATTGGGTCTGAGGGTTCAACACTGCTATTGGTCTCACGTTTAGTAGAGACGGAGTGGTATCGAGAGAGATGGGAGAGAGAGCGAGACTGGAGAGGGACGGGAGAAGAGAGGGCGGCAGGAGTGAGAGACTGGAGAGACTGGAGAGATGGATTCAGAAGAGATGGGAGAGCAAAATGGGAGAGGTACATGGGAAAGAGATGAGAGAGATCAGAAAGAGGGAGATGGGAGACAGATCTGAGAGACTGGAGTGAGATGTATCCACGAGAGAGAGATGGGTGAGAGACTGGAGATGTATCCACGAGAGAGATGGGTGAGAGACTGGAGTGAGATGTATCCACGTGAGAGTTAGAGATGGGAGAGACTGGAGTGAGATGTATCCACGAGAGAGAGATGGGTGAGAGACTGGACTGAGATGTATCCACGAGAGAGAGAGATGGGTGAGAGACTGGAGTGAGATGTATCCACGAGAGAGAGTGATGGGAGAGCTCGGATTTGGTCGCCCGTGCAGGTTCGGTCCGTGCGGGTTTTAAACTCCGAGCCAGAGCAGCCTCCCTCGTGCAGAAGGGACGCGGCCCCCAGTGCCACGCTCCCTTTCGAACGTGGGGCACACGTGGGGAGACCTCGCTCATAGTGGGGGGCATCTCACAGCCAGTGTGGGGCACACTGCACTCACACACACTATTCTGTCTCTCTCGCTGTCTCTATTGCAGGAGGAGGGGGCATCCCTGAGGCCTGGTGAAGGCTTCAGCCTGAAGATGAAGCCAGGAGTGCAGTCGGTGAGGCCGCTTACACAGCCAGGAGGGGTTCACGATGGCTGTGTTGGGTTCACGATGGCTGGGTCGTAGACACTTTGCCGGCAGGGCTGAGGTGCTGAGTTCAAGCCCTGTTTCATTGGGTCTGTGAGGGTTCAACACTGCTATTGGTCTCTCACGTTTAGTAGAGACGGAGTGGTATCGAGAGAGATGGGAGAGAGAGCGAGGCTGAGTTCAAGCCCTGTTTCATTGGGTCTGAGGGTTCAACACTGCTATTGGTCTCTCACGTTTAGTAGAGACGGAGTGGTATCGAGAGAGATGGGAGAGAGAGCGAGACTGGAGAGGGACGGGAGAAGAGAGGGCGGCAGGAGTGAGAGACTGGAGAGACTGGAGAGATGGATTCAGAAGAGATGGGAGAGCAAAATGGGAGAGGTACATGGGAAAGAGATGAGAGAGATCAGAAAGAGGGAGATGGGAGACAGATCTGAGAGACTGGAGTGAGATGTATCCACGAGAGAGAGATGGGTGAGAGACTGGAGATGTATCCACGAGAGAGATGGGTGAGAGACTGGAGTGAGATGTATCCACGAGAGAGTTAGAGATGGGAGAGACTGGAGTGAGATGTATCCACGAGAGAGAGAGATGGGTGAGAGACTGGAGTGAGATGTATCCACGAGAGAGAGATGGGTGAGAGACTGGAGTGAGATGTATCCACGAGAGAGAGTGATGGGAGAGCTCGGATTTGGTCGCCCGTGCAGGTTCGGTCCGTGCGGGTTTTAAACTCCGAGCCAGAGCAGCCTCCCTCGTGCAGAAGGGACGTGGCCCCCAGTGCCACGCTCCCTTTCGAACGTGGGGCACACGTGGGGAGACCTCGCTCACAGTGGGGGGCATCTCACAGCCAGTGTGGGGCACACTGCACTCACACACACTATTCTGTCTCTCTCGCTGTCTCTATTGCAGGAGGAGGGGGCATCCCTGAGGCCTGGTGAAGGCTTCAGCCTGAAGATGAAGCCAGGAGTGCAGTCGGTGAGGCCGCTTACACAGCCAGGAGGGGTTCACGATGGCTGTGTTGGGTTCACGATGGCTGGGTCGTAGACACTTTGCCGGCAGGGCTGAGGTGCTGAGTTCAAGCCCTGTTTCATTGGGTCTGTGAGGGTTCAACACTGCTATTGGTCTCTCACGTTTAGTAGAGACGGAGTGGTATCGAGAGAGATGGGAGAGAGAGCGAGGCTGAGTTCAAGCCCTGTTTCATTGGGTCTGAGGGTTCAACACTGCTATTGGTCTCTCACGTTTAGTAGAGACGGAGTGGTATCGAGAGAGATGGGAGAGAGAGCGAGACTGGAGAGGGACGGGAGAAGAGAGGGCGGCAGGAGTGAGAGACTGGAGAGACTGGAGAGATGGATTCAGAAGAGATGGGAGAGCAAAATGGGAGAGGTACATGGGAAAGAGATGAGAGAGATCAGAAAGAGGGAGATGGGAGACAGATCTGAGAGACTGGAGTGAGATGTATCCACGAGAGATGGGTGAGAGACTGGAGATGTATCCACGAGAGAGATGGGTGAGAGACTGGAGTGAGATGTATCCACGAGAGAGTTAGAGATGGGAGAGACTGGAGTGAGATGTATCCACGAGAGAGAGATGGGTGAGAGACTGGAGTGAGATGTATCCACGAGAGAGAGATGGGTGAGAGACTGGAGTGAGATGTATCCACGAGAGAGAGATGGGTGAGAGACTGGAGTGAGATGTATCCACGAGAGAGAGTGATGGGAGAGCTCGGATTTGGTCGCCCGTGCAGGTTCGGTCCGTGCGGGTTTTAAACTCCGAGCCAGAGCAGCCTCCCTCGTGCAGAAGGGACGCGGCCCCCAGTGCCACGCTCCCTTTCGAACGGGGGGCACACGTGGGGAGACCTCGCTCAAAGTGGGGGGCATCTCACAGCCAGTGTGGGGCACACTGCACTCACACACACTATTCTGTCTCTCTCGCTGTCTCTATTGCAGGAGGGGGCATCCCTGAGGCCTGGTGAAGGCTTCAGCCTGAAGATGAAGCCAGGAGTGCAGTCGGTGAGGCCGCTTACACAGCCAGGAGGGGTTCACGATGGCTGTGTTGGGTTCACGATGGCTGGGTCGTAGACACTTTGCCGGCAGGGCTGAGGTGCTGAGTTCAAGCCCTGTTTCATTGGGTCTGTGAGGGTTCAACACTGCTATTGGTCTCTCACGTTTAGTAGAGACGGAGTGGTATCGAGAGAGATGGGAGAGAGAGCGAGGCTGAGTTCAAGCCCTGTTTCATTGGGTCTGAGGGTTCAACACTGCTATTGGTCTCTCACGTTTAGTAGAGACGGAGTGGTATCGAGAGAGATGGGAGAGAGAGCGAGACTGGAGAGGGACGGGAGAAGAGAGGGCGGCAGGAGTGAGAGACTGGAGAGATGGATTCAGAAGAGATGGGAGAGGTACATGGGAAAGAGATGAGAGAGATCAGAAAGAGGGAGATGGGAGACAGATCTGAGAGACTGGAGTGAGATGTATCCACGAGAGAGAGATGGGTGAGAGACTGGAGATGTATCCACGAGAGAGATGGGTGAGAGACTGGAGTGAGATGTATCCACGAGAGAGTTAGAGATGGGAGAGACTGGAGTGAGATGTATCCACGAGAGAGAGAGATGGGTGAGAGACTGGAGTGAGATGTATCCACGAGAGAGAGATGGGTGAGAGACTGGAGTGAGATGTATCCACGAGAGAGTGATGGGAGAGCTCGGATTTGGTCGCCCGTGCAGGTTCGGTCCGTGCGGGTTTTAAACTCCGAGCCAGAGCAGCCTCCCTCGTGCAGAAGGCACGCGGCCCCCAGTGCCACGCTCCCTTTCGAACGGGGGGCACACGTGGGGAGACCTCGCTCACAGTGGGGGGGCATCTCACAGCCAGTGTGGGGCACACTTCACTCACACACACTATTCTGTCTCACTGGTTGGGGGGACATGCAGGGTAGATGTGTAGCTGGACACAGAGGGCCCATACAAGGGTTCATTGCTGCGTCTGTGTGTACAGATCCCAGTTCACTGGAGGAGCGATCAGCCCACTGAGTTCTGAAGAGTTGGGGGAGGGGGAACGTGAGGTGACCCCAAACCTCCCTCAACTACAGTGGAAGAAACCAACTGGAGGAGGAAGGGGGGTGGGGTGGGCTGTACTAACTGGTGGCTCCAGTGGATGAAAGGGAGCTCAAGAAATTCAATATGAAATCCCTGGGAGGGGGGGGAGGAGCAAAGCCACTGCACACTCCAATAAAGCAACTGGGCGTTTTTATTCAGAACCTTGTGTGAGCACTCCTGTGTTTGTGTGGTGCCGTTTGCACAAGTGTGTGTGTGTTTACACACCTACATGTGAGTGTGAGTACACTGCATAGGTGTGTAAAGCTGTATGTATGGGTGTGTACACGGTCCGTGGGACGTTGCATGTATGGGTGTACACGCAAATGTGTGTACGGCTGTGTGAGTGCAACCGCTCCGTGTACACGTGCTGTGTGCGTACACGGCGAGCGTCTAGGCCACCAGCACGCAGGCTCCCCCCACTGCACGGATCTTCTGCTCTGCACGGTGGCTGAAGAACTTTGCCTTCACGATCACCGGCTGCTTGGGCAGACGGCCCTTGCCCAGCACCTTGTAGTAGCCCTGGGGTGGTACACACAGGTCACACACACACAGGTCACACACAGGTCACACACAGGTCTCACGTTACACACAGGTTACACACATTACACACACAGGTTACACACAGGTTACACACATTACACACACAGGTTACACACAGGTCACACACACAGGTCTTACACGTTACACACACAGGTTACACACAGGTCTCACGTTACACAGACAGGTCACACACAGGCCACACACACAGCTACCCACGTTACACACACAGCTACCCACGTTACACACACAGGTTACCCACGTTACACACACAGGTTACCCACGTTACACACACAGGTTACCCACGTTACACACAGCTACCAACGTTACACACACAGCTACCCACGTTACACACACAGCTACCCACGTTACACACAGCTACCCACGTTACACACACAGCTACCCACGTTACACACACAGCTACCCACGTTACACACACAGCTACCCACGTTACACACAGCTACCCAAGGGAGTGCACTCTGGTGGGGTGGTCAGCACTTTGAGCGTTTCCGGCCAGCTGTGTCTCTGCCCCATGTCGACATCTCCCCTATCTCCCCTCTGTCTCCCTCCCCCGTCTCTCTCCCATCTCTCTCCCCCGTCTCTCCCCCGTCTCTCTCCCATCTCTCTCGCCCGTCTCTCTGCTGTCTCTCCCGTCTCTCCCCCCTGTCTCTCTCCCCCGTGTCTCTCCCCCGTGTCTCTCCCCCGTGTCTCTCCCCCGTGTCTCTCCCCCGTGTCTCTCCCCCGTGTCTCTCCCCCGTGTCTCCCCCTGTGTCTCTCCCCGTGTCTCTCCCCCGTGTCTCTCTCCCCCGTCTCTCTCCCATCTCTCTCGCCCGTCTCTCTCGCCCGTCTCTCTCCCCCGTCTCTCTCCCCTGTCTCTCTGGTGTTCCCCGCCCCATCCGTGTCTCCCCCCTCCCCACGTGTCTCCCCCCCACCCCCTCATCCGTGTCTCCCCCACCCCGCGTTTCCCTCCCCAACGTCCCCCTTCACCCCCCGTGTCTGCTGCCCCGTACCCCCCCCCCCTCTCCCGCACGGGCGCGTGCGTGCGTCTCTCACGGCTCTGACGACGTCGATGACGGGCGCGGTGCCCTCCGGCAGCTTGGCGCTTGCAGCCCGCGTCTGCTCGCTCACCAGCGTCCACAGGCGGTCCACGTTGAGCGTGGGGCAGTGCAGCTGGTTGCGCTTGAGGTGGTAGCGGCGCATGCCCACCTTGCCGAAGTAGCCGGGGTGGCTGAGGGCGCGCGCACGACACAAAACCGCTGGTTTTACGAAACGCGTGTGCATATACACACGTACACGGGGCGCTTCAAAAACGTGTCAACACTTACACGGGACTATCCTTTTTAAATGGGGAAAAAAAAAATCGGATAATACTGCACTGTTAACACGACGGCAAATGCAACGTTAATGGCTTCAAAAAGTCAAACAGCCTCCCACTTGTTCGCCATTCGTTGTCAAAGCGCGGCCCGGAATCTTCTATTGTTGCAAATTCTCAGCGTTATAAATTGTTTGAAGCGCCCTTGCGCGTATATATATAAACGACGCCCCGCCGTTCACCGCTAAGCGTTGCGGTGACCTCACCACGGCGCTTGTGCCAGGCTAGGTGCAACTTTTGAGGCCACGTCAATGCCCGCTGCTGGCAGGGAGACGAGGCCACGGGACGGACCAACGTGCCGTGGGTTAACTGCTGTGCCAGGCTAGGTGCAGGACGAGGTTACGGCACAGTCCCAGGCAAATGGCGGAGCCAGGATTTTCAGGTGGGGTGGGGTAACCCTTCCAGCAATGAGGGGACTTGTCCCTTGCTTGTTACTCGACGCGTGTGCGGCGATGACGCAGCCATCGATCGAGGGGTCGAGTTCGCACCTCGTGGTTAGTGATCATCGGCACCGCCCTCGCTGAAGGTGTCGATGCCTTCAGGGAAGTCGCGGACTCTGTAGGCGCCACTGGGCACAATTATTCTGCGAGTCGCTTGTAACAGCTTTGCCGTTTACTTATTGGCAATTATGGGCTCGCACTATTGTCCTATCATGTCGTAGAGTCCCTGGCACGTAAAAACATTCTACAAAGTGGCCAGTGGAGGGGGTCGCAAAATGCCGATTTGTTACTAATAAACCCCAATGATTCGATCGAAATTAGGAATTTCGATCGGATCATTGGGGGGGCACGTGCCAACTCACCCCCCCCCCCGCCACTGGCTCTGCCAGTGGTCCCAGGTGCCATAGGTTGACTGCTGTGCCAGGCTAGGTGCAGGAGGATGTCAAGGGGACAGACCCAGCAGGTGCCATGGGTTGACTGCTGTGCCAGGCTAGGTGCAGGAGGATGTCAAGGGGACAGACCCAGCAGGTGCCATGGTTTGTACTGCTGTGCCAGGATAGGTGCAGGAGGATGTCAAGGGGACAGACCCAGCAGGTGCCATGGGTCGACTGCTGTGCCAAGCTAGGTGCAGGAGGAGGTCAAGGGGACAGACCCAGCAGGTGCCATGGGTTGACTGCTGTGCCAGGCTAGGTGCAGGAGGAGGTCAAGGGGACAGACCCAGCAGGTGCCATGGGTTGACTGAGATGACGGTTAGATGCATCAGCTGTGCCCCCTACTGTGACAACTAAGCGCACAAAGATAAATATCCCCCCCCCCGTGTAGCCTTAAACTGTTGTGGCAAGTGCTGTTAGCCACGAATAGCAGCACCTATGAAGGGCCGGCACCGTGGCACACGAAGGGGTGGGTGGCCAGGACCACGCCCGGCCGCCTCCGTCTCCCCCGAGTGGCGATGTTCACTACACAAACCATTACACCAGGTACTCATTTAAGGCCGAGCCGCCGTGGTGATGAGATGTTGACTCCCTCGCCTGGTATACAGGAGGTCGTGGGTTCGATCCCGACCCTGACGCCTGCTGCTGCTGTATATTTGGAGTTTGCGGTGTCTCTCTCTCCCCGTGGTCGCGTGGATTTTTCTCCAAGGTCCTCCGGTTTTCCCCTCCACATTTAGAATCAAAGTCATGCGTTTACAGTCTTTGGCTGCTGCTATATAAATTTCCACGCGTTGATGATATCAGCCACTTGGTTCAGCTATCATGTGATTGGCAGGTCGCTTCTGAAAAAGAGCTACGTTGTATGGATCTGAGTTTCTATGAGTATGGGTCTCTTGTATGGATATCTGTGGGTCTCTATGAATATGGGTCTATAAGTATGGGTCACTGTGAGTCTCTGTGAGTCTCTGAGTATGAATATCTGTGGGTCTCTCTGAATATGGGTCTCTGTGAGTCTCTGAGTATGGATATCTGTGGGTCTCTATGAATATGGGTCTATAAGTATGGGTCACTGTGAGTCTCTGTGGGTCTCCGAGTATGGATCTCTGTGGGTCTCTATGATTATGGGTCTCTATGAGTATGGATCTATGTGGGTTTTTTATGAGTATGGGTCTCTGTGGGTCTCTATGATTATGGGTCTCTATGAGTATGGATCTCTGTGGGTCTCTATGATTATGGGTCTCTATGAGTATGGATCTATGTGGGTTTTTTTATGAGTATGTGTATTTTTGGGCTTGGTCTTAAAAAGAGCCACACAGTTCAGTGGGGCCTTACCTGTTTAAAATAGAGTTTACACGCACGCTAACATAACGGTGGCAATGCCCATTTCAGGTCAAGGGGAGCTAGCGGAGGGATGGGGGCACTCACTATTTGTCGAAGTTGATCCTGTGGTGGTGCTGACCGCCGGCGTTACCGCGCCCACCAGGGTGCTTGCGGTGTTTGCCTGAGCACAGCGGGGGAAGGGGGACGCACCGTTATACACACAAATACACATACCCCATTACACACAAGATACTTACACACGTACATTTTCCCCGTTACACACAGATACGCACACAGATGTATACAACAGACTGTTGGGGAAAGTGCTGTTAGCGAGCACCTATGAAGGCCGGCACGGCACACGAGGGGGTGGGTGGCCAGCACCACGCCCGACCGCCTTTGTCTCCCCAGTGACGATGTTTACACACCGCATCAGGTACTCATTTGAGGCCGAGTCGACCTAGGGGAGGCCCAGGACCGGTACAGATAATCGACGCCGGTGTTGGCCGCGAGCAGGAATCGATAGATACATACGCACACTGATACATTCCCACACACTGATACGCATAGATGCATCCACACTGGCACACACACCGATACATTCCCACACTGATACATACAGATGCATCCACACTGGCACACACACCGATACATGCAGATACGTGCGTAGTGTTACGATGCACGACGGCCCAACTCTCACCTATCCGGCCGTGGCCATGGCTCACATGACCTCTCAGCTTCCTCGTCTTCTTGAGTCGTGCAGTCTGAGAGGACGAAGAGCAAACAACGGTCATCATCACCCTGCTAGACTCAACACTGCACCACTCAACACTACCACCCAGACTCAACACTGCCCATTTAACTCAACACTAACCACCCATAGACTCACACTGCCCATACTCAATACTGCCCTGTCTCACTGCCCATAGGACTCAACATTACCACCCAGACTCAACACTTACCATAGGCTCAACACCGCACCATAGACTCACATAGCCAATAGACTCACAGCCCCATACTCAATACTGCCTATAGACTCACACCGCCCACAGCCTCACGCTGCCCATAGGCCGACATTGACTTTGTAATCTTGCTGATCCCAGGTCACTCTTGCCAATGAGGCTATCCGGGGTACGAGTTCTCTCTTCGTTACACACAATAAACTTAAAGCATCAACATTTGAATGTTACAAAAAAAATATACCATTATGACTCAAAAACACACACTGAGATTTACACAGACAAAACAAGGTTAAACTTAGAAGATAAGAAAAAACGAATCTTCATCCATCAGTTGATAGATCACGGTGATGATTATTACAGAGACCAGATATAGCCACGTGGATTAAGTGGACAAGCAGTGTAGAGACATCAACACAATGATCTTTATCCAGCAGTGGTTGGACCACGATGGTGATTATGGAGGAACACGTGGATTGGAGCACATAGGGTAAAGACATCACCAAATTGTTATTTGTCCAGCAATGGAAAACCATGATGGTGGTTACATTGAAGACCACGTGGATAATAGAACACACACAGGGGTAGAGACACCGCCACACTGATCTTCATCCACCAGTGGATAGACCAAGATTTGTTTATTTTACCAGGTAAGGCTCACCGAGCTATGTAGCTCATTTTCAGAAGCGACCCGACCATCACAAATGATAGCAGTTCAGCCAAGTGGCTGATATCGTCACGTGGACATTTCACAGCAGTCAAATACTCCAAAACGCATGCTTCTAAATGTGGAAGGGAAAAACCGGAGAGACACGCAAACTCCAAATATACAGCAGGCGCCAGGGTCGGGATCGAGCCCACGACCTCCTGTGTGCCTCGCGAGGCAGTTAACATCTCACCACCGTGGCACCCGCAATGGTCACGATTACACGGAGGAAAACGTAGATTGGAGAACACACGCAGGGTAGAGACATCATCACGACCACATTGATCTTCATCCAGCAGTGGATACATCATTATTACACAGAGGAACACGTGGATTGGAGGACACACGCAGGGTAGATGAAGTTCAATGATGTCGATGTCTCTACCCCGCGCGTGGTCTCCAATCCACGTGTTACTGTGTAATCACCATCATGATCTATCCACTGCTGGATAGAGATCAATGTGGTCGTGATGGTGTCTCTACCCCGCGCGTGGTCTCCAATCCCCGTGTTGTGTAATCACCATCATGATCCATCCACTGCTGGATAGAGATCCATGATGTTGATATCGCCAGCAGTGGATAGACCACGAGTCCCACAAGAGTTTCATCAAAGTCCCACGTGGCTATACAATGTTTGTGCGTAAAGTAGGGTCATCGCGCGAAACGTCGGCCATTATATATTTTCTCCCTCTTAAGGCAAGCCCGCACGGGTGTTCATTGGCCTAACGGAGCGCGTCGGGTTGTGCTGTTGTACGCGGACCGCCTCCGACGGAGACATTCGCCCAAGCAGAATTGGTTTCGTGATAAAAGTTTAAACTTTCTCTGGGGATCACGGCGGCGGCACCACCCCAACGTTAGTGAATGGGCGCCTAGCCTACCTAGGCCTAGGCTCACACACCCCCCACCCACCTCACACACAACACACCCATCACCGCCAAGGCAACTTAAACCCGAGCTTTTCTCCGATCGGAGGCGAGGGACATCGCGCTCTGGCGCGACGCCCGCAACGAAGCCGACATTCGCGAGCGCCGCTCGACACGGATGGCCGCGGATGGCCGCGGATTCGCGGGGCCGGAGCCGTCAGCGATCTTACCATGGCGGAGGAGGTCGAGGAGAAGGAGCGATCACGTGACGAGAAACGGCGGAAGTGGGCGTGGCGAGAGGGGGCGGGGGACGGAAAAGGACAATGGCGGGACAGGAGCGGGGGGGGGGAGGATGACTTCCGGTGGGTTTTTGACTCTCGGGGAAAGGAATCGGGAGGGAGGATCGATTGAGAATTAAAATGATAAGAAATCGAAATTTGATTTGAAGCTTTCGTGACTTAAATTTTGATTTAAAGCTTTCGTGACTGCAGTAATTCATATTCTTAGTTTTTTCGGTAAAGTCACGTTGAAGAGAAACAACAAAATAACAAAATATATATAAAACAATAAAAATTCTCACGACGTTTCGACCATAACTCAAACGGTCATCATCAGGTGTGTCGGTTTGCATAAATTTATTTTGAAAACGGCATATTTATTTATTTATATATATAAAAATAACGTTTGCGTCACGCGCAACGATTGGCTGTTTGCCAGGACTAGTCCATCTATTTTTTGAAAAGAGGAGGGGGGAGACGAAATTTGTTTTTATGTATGCTGTCTGAAAGCCACTGTGAGCGTGAACAATCAATCAAGAACTGAAATGATTTATCAAATCTTTCCAATGATTGCTAAGATAGAATCCATCTTCTCGGTTGAAATTGTCTCTGTGTTTGTATATGTGGATAGCCTCATGAACGAATCTCTCATGGAAGCCAGATGGCTTACAAAGAACCTCCGTCTTGGAAAAGTCAATGGCATGTGAGCCTACTGAATTAGAACAATGATCTGCTACGGCCGAGGTGTTGGTCCTACCATGTTTAAGGTCTGCTTTATGTTCACGAATGCGGTCCGAGATATGGCGTTTGGTTTCTCCAATGTAACTACTACCACAGAGGCAACTTAGTTTGTAGACACCAGGGTATTGTATGTCCGGAATCACATCTTTTACAGACGGAACCAGATCACGGATTTTATGTAATGTGTTGAAACGGACCTGGATCTTGTGTTTATTCAAGATTTTGGAGATCTTTTTTGTGATCCCAGCAATGTAGGGTAAAGTGATGGTTTTGAAAGGCTCCTCAAGAGGGTTCTTCTTCATGGTTTGAGTGATAGCTTTGCGGATTGTATAGTCGGAGTAACCATTAGCCCTAAGAGCTTGGTGTACGTGCTTGAGTTCACTGCTTATGTGTTCCTGGTCGGATATGCATTGGGCTCTATGATACAGAGTCTTGATGAGAGAATTCTTCTGTGATGGATGGTGGTGGGAATCCGGTTTCAGATAAGCATCCGTATGGGTAGCTTTCCTGTAGACAGAGTGGCTCATTGAACCATCAGGTCTCTTTTTAATTAGGACATCCAAAAAAGGTATCTTGCCATCTATTTCGACTTCCATGGTAAATCTGATGGCTGGTTGTATGGAATTGATGTGGTCGAAGAATTGGTCTAGAGCAGGCCGGCCATGTGGCCAGATGACAAAAGTGTCATCCACGTACCTCTTCCATAAGGTTGGGCGCAGAGTGGCAGTCTGGATGGCGTCAGTCTCAAATTTCTCCATGAAAATGTTAGCTATAACTGGAGAAAGGGGGGAGCCCATTGGGGTGCCCTCAGTTTGTTTGTAGAAAGTTCCATTCCAAGTGAAGTATGTATTGGTTAAACAGTGTCTCACCAGGGGGGGTACCTCAGTGTTTAGTCCTTGATGAACCAAGTCTTCAATGATTGCAATGGTGTCAGGTACAGGAACCTTGGTGAATAAGGAAACTACATCAAAACTGACAAGCAGGTCGTCTGGGGACAGGGAAATACCCTTGATTGTTGATACCAGGTGAGTAGAATTTTGTACCGCAGAGGTGGTCTTTCCAGTGAAAGGACGCAGGATTTCAGACAAAAAACGAGCTAGTTTGTAGGTGGGGGAGCTGATAGTAGAGACTATGGGACGAAGAGGTGTATCAACTTTATGTATTTTTGGTAAGCCGTATAATCTTGGTGGCCTGGCAGCAGAAGGTTTCAATGAAAACTGTTTAGATTGATCAATTAATGCGGTTGAATCAGAAATTATTTTGTTGGTTTGTGTGACGAGGCTGTTGGTGGGATCTCTTTTTATTTTTGTATAACTACCATCGTCGAGTAATTCTTTAATTTTGTTGTTGTATTCTATTTTATCCATGATAACAGTAGCATTGCCTTTGTCAGCTGAGAGAACTACAATATCATTCCTCTTTTTTAATTTATATAATTCAAAACGCTCATTTTTGCTGAGGTTGCTAGCTGGCATCTTAGCGTTTTTGAGGGTTGCAGCGATTTCAGATCTTGCTACGTCTGCAGCGATGTGACCCAGACCCCTGAGAGCAACGTCTACTTGGGCAATTATATCATTAACTGGTATGTGTTTAGGTGTGACTGCAAAGTTTAGACCTTTAGCTAAAACGGATTTCAGACCATCGGAAATAGAACTGTTACTGCGATTAATTACGACTTTATTAACGTCTAACTTTTTGGTGTGTGGGTCCGGTCTTTTGTTGAATAGGAGGTTAAATTTGGAAATCAGGTTTTCCTTACATTTGGTCGACATAGTAGCAGCTGAAGAGGCAGTCATATTGTCTACATGTTCCCAATCCGATGTGGACATTATTGCCGTCAATGATAAGTGTGATTTGTAGAGTGTCTTGTCTAACTGATCTAGTTCTGTGCGTATAAGTCTGATTTTTTCTGAGATAAGAGCTAAGCTAGTTTTGAAAAGAATTCGTTTCGCATTAGAAGAAGTTACAGTAGCAGAGGTGAGTGTAAATGCGATTGGTATTACCCCAGAGTCGCGGCATCTCTTCAGGAAGGTGAGAGACTCGATCAGCTGAGCTTTCTTATCCCGGAGTTTGTTGAAAGATCTTAAAGTTATGTGAAAACCCTCCCCGTAGAGGCGATTAAATTTTGATTTAAAGCTTTCGTGACTGCAGTAATTCATATTCTTAGTTTTTTCGGTAAAGTCACGTTGAAGAGAAACAACAAAATAACAAAATATATATAAAACAATAAAAATTCTCACGACGTTTCGACCATAACTCAAACGGTCATCATCAGGTGTGTCGGTTTGCATAAATGTATTTTGAAAACGGCATATTTATTTATTTATTTATATAAAAATAACGTTTGCGTCACGCGCAACGATTGGCTGTTTGCCAGGACTAGTCCATCTATTTTTTGAAAAGAGGAGGGGGGAGACGAAATTTGTTTTTATGTATGCTGTCTGAAAGCCACTGTGAGCGTGAACAATCAATCAAGAACTGAAATGATTTATCAAATCTTTCCAATGATTGCTAAGATAGAATCCATCTTCTCGGTTGAAATTGTCTCTGTGTTTGTATATGTGGATAGCCTCATGAACGAATCTCTCATGGAAGCCAGATGGCTTACAAAGAACCTCCGTCTTGGAAAAGTCAATGGCATGTGAGCCTACTGAATTAGAACAATGATCTGCTACGGCCGAGGTGTTGGTCCTACCATGTTTAAGGTCTGCTTTATGTTCACGAATGCGGTCCGAGATATGGCGTTTGGTTTCTCCAATGTAACTACTACCACAGAGGCAACTTAGTTTGTAGACACCAGGGTATTGTATGTCCGGAATCACATCTTTTACAGACGGAACCAGATCACGGATTTTATGTAATGTGTTGAAACGGACCTGGATCTTGTGTTTATTCAAGATTTTGGAGATCTTTTTTTTTTTGTGATCCCAGCAATGTAGGGTAAAGTGATGGTTTTGAAAGGCTCCTCAAGAGGGTTCTTCTTCATGGTTTGAGTGATAGCTTTGCGGATTGTATAGTCGGAGTAACCATTAGCCCTAAGAGCTTGGTGTACGTGCTTGAGTTCACTGCTTATGTGTTCCTGGTCGGATATGCATTGGGCTCTATGATACAGAGTCTTGATGAGAGAATTCTTCTGTGATGGATGGTGGTGGGAATCCGGTTTCAGATAAGCATCCGTATGGGTAGCTTTCCTGTAGACAGAGTGGCTCATTGAACCATCAGGTCTCTTTTTAATTAGGACATCCAAAAAAGGTATCTTGCCATCTATTTCGACTTCCATGGTAAATCTGATGGCTGGGTGTATGGAATTGATGTGGTCGAAGAATTGGTCTAGAGCAGGCCGGCCATGTGGCCAGATGACAAAAGTGTCATCCACGTACCTCTTCCATAAGGTTGGGCGCAGAGTGGCAGTCTGGATGGCGTCAGTCTCAAATTTCTCCATGAAAATGTTAGCTATAACTGGAGAAAGGGGGAGCCCATTGGGGTGCCCTCAGTTTGTTTGTAGAAAGTTCCATTCCAAGTGAAGTATGTATTGGTTAAACAGTGTCTCACCAGGGGGGGTACCTCAGTGTTTAGTCCTTGATGAACCAAGTCTTCAATGATTGCAATGGTGTCAGGTACAGGAACCTTGGTGAATAAGGAAACTACATCAAAACTGACAAGCAGGTCGTCTGGGGACAGGGAAATACCCTTGATTGTTGATACCAGGTGAGTAGAATTTTGTACCGCAGAGGTGGTCTTTCCAGTGAAAGGACGCAGGATTTCAGACAAAAAACGAGCTAGTTTGTAGGTGGGGGAGCTGATAGTAGAGACTATGGGACGAAGAGGTGTATCAACTTTATGTATTTTTGGTAAGCCGTATAATCTTGGTGGCCTGGCAGCAGAAGGTTTCAATGAAAACTGTTTAGATTGATCAATTAATGCGGTTGAATCAGAAATTATTTTGTTGGTTTGTGTGACGAGGCTGTTGGTGGGATCTCTTTTTATTTTTGTATAACTACCATCGTCGAGTAATTCTTTAATTTTGTTGTTGTATTCTATTTTATTCATGATAACAGTAGCATTGCCTTTGTCAGCTGAGAGAACTACAATATCATTCCTCTTTTTTAATTTATATAATTCAAAACGCTCATTTTTGCTGAGGTTGCTAGCTGGCATCTTAGCGTTTTTGAGGGTTGCAGCGATTTCAGATCTTGCTACGTCTGCAGCGATGTGACCCAGACCCCTGAGAGCAACGTCTACTTGGGCAATTATATCATTAACTGGTATGTGTTTAGGTGTGACTGCAAAGTTTAGACCTTTAGCTAAAACGGATTTCAGACCATCGGAAATA